AGCCATGAATTTTGCTTTTCCAATCTTTCACCCTCAACATAATTAATAATAATAATAATAATAATAATAATAATAATAATAATAATAATAATAATAATAATGAAACGAAGTTGTTGCTGCATCCCTGCAGCTGCTCACAGGGAGAAGGTTCTGGGTGAGGTCATTTGATGGCTACAGAGTGGCAAATGTATGAACCAGGTAAAGCTGATCTTCTCAACGTGAAGTGAAAACGTTCTGAAATTATCCTTATTTTAATACAAAGGGAGAAAAATAACTTCTTAAAAGTCCTTTGAAAGATAAATGTTTTTTTTTAAACAGGTTGTTTTTGGAAAAGTATGGTTCAGGAGAAGGTAAAACACTTCAGTTCTTGAAATATGCAGCTGAGGTTTTCATTAAACTCTATGACGCAGAGTTTCTATTATGCTGTCAGTGTAATTCTTATTTTATTCCATGATGTAACACAATGGTAATTAATACTAATATGACAGAAAATAAGATAAAATTGTTGACTTACTCCATTATCTATTTTGGAACTTATTTAAGAACTACCGCAACTAAAAACTGAAACCTTTTTATCTCTGTGTGTGTCTTAATGAGACAAGTTTGAGAGTTCCTGAAGTGAAATTTCTACCCACAGTGGTTTTGCAGGCCATTAGTCTGCCATGAAAAGATGCAGCAAGAACGTACACATAAAGACAAAAGTACATACAGAGCAAAAGATGGAATGAAACTAAGAGTTTTCCAAAAGATGAAGAAAAAAACGCTTGGTTTCATTGAAAACAGCTCTTTTCAATGAAAAACATCTTGTTTTCTCCCAGAATTGCTATAATGTCCCAAGTTTTCAAAGTTACTGATGTCCACAGCTGTATTATTAAACAGAGCAGCACAAATGATCATATGCATGAAGTTCATAAATAATTCCATCTTTTCTCTCAAATGAAATCCCTTCTTTGATGGCTTTATTTATGGCCACCTTCAGCATCAGGTTATTCTATTCCCAACCAATTTCTTTTTTAACAGTCTCTTTGTCTGCCACAGTCCTGACCTTCAGCCTTTCCTTCATGCTGTGAGGATGCACCCAGATCCGATCTCGTACACTGAACGTGATCAGCAAACCTCACAGCTGCTCTTGTCATGGGCTGCTTTTGAGTTACTGAGCAAGAGCAGCTGCAAATCCATGTAGGGAACAGAAATTAGAAAAAATTACCCAAACAATTATGAGCTCACATCTACAGCCATGGCCTCTGATCAGATCTGTCACTGGGGAACAAGACCTAAGGCTTATAATAATTATTCAATGGTGATAAAAATCAGATATTTAATGTTGTGAATTATTAAGAATGGATAAATTAAGAAAGGAAGAGAGGATGAAACAGAAAGCATCACTATGCTAGAGCATAACTTCAGTCTCCACCTGCATCTTGAATATTATGTGCACTCCGTGGGTTCCTGGTAGAAGGATATAGGGGAAGCGATAAGGGTGGCCAATTTACAGCTGTGAACAAAGTTATGGAGCATGTTCTGTAGGAGGAAAGATTTCACAGACTATGACCTTTCAGCCTTGAAAAGAGGTTACAAATGGATGTCAAAGACGTCAATGAAAGAAATATGTCTATGAAACTCTTAATGGCTTGTTGACAGCAGAAACATACTAGTGATGGTAGGGATCATCTCTTCCAACACAAAAACTACAGAGCATGATGAAGCATCAAGCAGTGCCTGGCCCAGAGTGAACCCCAGGAACTGGTCAGGCACACAGTGCCCAGTCAAACTGCAGACCACATTTTTACAGCTTTCTGTTGATGCTGAAAACTTTAAAAGTTATAAAAAGTATGTGAAAATATTCACAAAAGCAACACTCACTCAGTACTATGAAGTAAAGTGACACCATTCGGCGTTGGGGAGTCTCTGAACACAACTTCCTGGAGTCATGCAGATCTTTTTGATGATGCACTACCACATGCCTGCCCTGCTCTTTTATTTTTCCATGGAGACGAGGCAGGGCCAGACTGGCCTTGAATCTGATGCCATATTTTTTTTTGATGTAGCTTATCAGTGTGATGTGTTATCTAGCTATGACTGTGGTGAGCTTAGCGACTCCAAAGATGTCTACTTACAGTCAGAAGATGAAAACAAGCCACGAAAGATCAGCAAATGGAGAGGGGAGGCTTGCTTTTATTTTCCCACTTCTCAGAAAAGAATTAGACTTCTCTAGTGATGTTGTGAGTGGAGGTGCTATCTCAGGGGTGGGATGTACAGGTTGTCCACCATGTTGCACCAGCACCTCACAGAGCTGCGTGAATGGCTATGATCTGAGCATGGACGCAGAAAGACTCAGTGCCCCACTGGATCTCTGAGCAGGTTAAACAAAATCAGTCAGGCTGTGCTCTGGCAAGGACGCTGGGAGACAAAAGCAAATCTTCTCCTTTTGGCAAGAAGTACCCTGGGAATTGGTAGCAGGCTCCTGGGAACAGCTCCCTTTTTCTTTCCCTCCGTATGGAAAAGGTTTTTTCAGGTCTTGGCCACTTAAACAGCATATAGAAACAGTCCTTGGGCTCATGCTTCAACCCTGGCATTTTCCTCCAAGCCCACTGTGGGGTCTTAGCAATCCTTGCAGACAGGAGGGAAAAGCAAGCTATGCACAGAAAAGAAGAAAAAAACCTGGAGACAGGGTTGTGTAATCCGGCTGTAAAAGGCGTCGGTGCTGGCCCAGGGCCTGGCGCCTCGGAGACAGCCAGGAATGGCCCAAGACAGGAGCTGAAAGCAGTGGAGACTGCTCTGCCAGTAACTCACAGAGACAGAGCCATTACTCTGGCCTGACACAACCCAGGAGCTTCTGGTCGTCAGGGAGGGGGGAAATGTTAATTGGTTCCTGCCTGGTGCCAGGATGGCAGAGCGAACTGCTCTGGGTGGGAAGGGAGAGAGCGCCCAGACCCAAGGCTGAGCTAAAACCTGACATACAGGACAAACAAGAGGTCTTCATCACTCAGTGCCATTCAGGGTCTCCTTCATTTAGCTGTGGCTTTCATTTTTGGCTGCATATCTTGAGGGAGAGGGAAAAAAGGCATTTAGATGCAGTGCCAGCAAAACAAATCCCTAACAAAGATGGAGGCTAAGTGCATTGAGAAAATCCACACATCCCTCCTCTTCTAAAACTAGTCCTGGCAGACTGCGAGTCACTTTTTCACAAGGGCAGGTAGTGATAGGACAAGGGGCAATGGTCATAAACTGGACCAGAGCAGATTTAATTTAGATATTAGGAAGAAATTCTTTCCTGTGAAGGTGGTGAGACACTGGAACAGGTTTCCCAGAGAAGTTGTAGATGTTCCTTCCCTGGAAGTGTTCAAGGCCAGGCTGGATGAGGCTTTGAG